GGGAGGCCGCGGCCACTCCCCTCGCCCTCACCCCAACCTCCCCGGCCCCAAGCCACCCGGGAATCAAAAAACGGGTTTAGTTACCGGAGAACAGAAACTTTACCGAACCGAGGACACTCTCCCCGACTCCCGCTTGCTGCCACGTCTTTCTTCTTTCTTAGCCGCTGCCCTCCACCGTCCTCACAGCAGCAGCACCAGCAGAAACCCAAGACTGCCAGCGTCAAAGATGGCGCCCGGCTACAGGCTCCGCTCTAAGACCGGGCGGTTAAAAGTGCCAGCACGACGCAATCGCGAGGATTCTGGGAGATGTAGTTCCTCTATGAGGCGATAACGTAAGATGGCGTTCTGGCCGCGGGGTCACGTGACAGCGGAGGCGGTAGGCCAAGGAGGCCGTTCCTTTCCCATGAACGCGTTTTATAAAGTTAACGGATTTATTGAAACCGTCTTTTTTTTTTTTAAATCAAATGAGGCACTAAGCGAGAAAGCTGCGAGAGCTGTGTCTACCAGACAGTAGGCGCTCAGTTTTTCTCTCACCAAAAAAACTTTGGCTTAATGAATAATAAATGGTCCCACAGCTGTGTAGACATCTAATCTAGAAATAAATTACTTTCCCCATGCAATGTTGGAGGATTTGTGCATTTATTTTTATTTCAAGAAGTGAAATTAGGTTTTTGGGGTTTTCCAATACAAATTTTTTTTTTTCTTGTATTGGAAAAACATTTCATGGTCACTAAAAACCTCATGAGGGTTTGGGGAGGAGAAGGAAGAACATCAGCTTTGGCCTCCTCAATTATTGACATTAGCTTGTATTTTCCCATTTGAATGTTTGTACCTTTTTGTTGGGGTCCAGCCCCAGCAGGTCCAGGGGTTCCCAAAGGAAGTAACTGAAGGAGATTATCCTAAGTAAAGATTATTGTAGTTTAAGCATGATTGTTCATAGTTAAAGTGATTAACTACCCGCCTGGCACTTAGTTAAGGGGTTTTACTGATTTATTCCCTTCCTTAGTCCTGTTAATCCCTAACTCCAGAGAAAAATCCCCACCTGGGGAAACCGCCTTTCTGGGAGAGGTGACCTTGGTTAAAACACAAAGCGCTAAGTAGGGGAGCAAACATATGAAGAACAGTATGCCATATATGCCAGGTCCCTTGAAACATATGCTGTGCAGATGTTTCTTCCCTGCAGCGACTGTGTCAAGCAGCAGGATGGACCAGCTTCTGGCACCTTTTTCCTCCAGTTATAAAAGTAATACAGATGAGTATTTTTTTAAAAATGTAAATAATACAAATAAATGGAGTAGAAAGTTTAAATCTCTATTAATCTGATTCCTGAGAAATAATCTCATTAATTTAGCTTATATTCTTTCTTTTTTGTAGTCTTAAAATATACTTAAATAGATTATGCTGGTAAGTTAGGCACCTAAAATGCCCCCTGGGTTAGAGGCTCAGCAGAACTTGCTTAGGTGGCTACATTTTACTGAACTCCAGAGGACATAATTATGCTACTAAGGAAGGATACACTTGATGGTAAAGCAGACGGGACTCCAGCACCTTATTTCCTCCTGGTCTGCTTCCGCCAGATACCAACCTTGTGAAGGACTCCAGCCAGCTCACAACTGGGTCCTGAGTCCCCTCACACTTGGGCTTTAACTTCTTCCAAAGTAAGAAGTCACAACATTACAATCCTAGATCCAGAGCCTTACATGCTAATACTCTGTGGTTGCCATGTCAACCAGACCTAATAAGCAAGTTCCACAATCTACATGCCACTTACATCAAGATCTGACCTCTGGCCCTACAGCTTTGGGTCATAATGCCAGATGAGTCCACCCAGTAGGTCACAGGGGTATTCTTGAAAGCCATGTTTATATTTGCATGCCTAGCAATAGCAACTCTAAGGAAAATGACTGTAAATCGCAAAGATATAACCCAAAATAATTGTACCCGAACTCATCTTTCTCTTAGCCAGATCTCAAAAATGCCCAACAGGGGAAGTTATTGGAGTGAGTCTTTGTGAAAGAACAAAAACAAAACAAGAAAACACATGGCTTTTAAGCATTTGCTATTAAAATATCTTACTTTTGCAAATTTTATAATGAACACATTACTATTGTAGTCCTGCCCAGAGCATCAGAGAAGGCTTCTATAAGTAAGGGGCCCTGAAGGCTAAGCTCCATTTACTTCATGGTAAATCCTCCTCTCTTTATGTTGACTGACTGTGGAGCCATATGATCTGGATTCAAATCCTGACCTATCCTTCTCCCTGAAACTCTAGTCAACTCTGTGGGTCCCACAGGTTGGGAGTAGCCTCAGTTTGTACCTTTTCACATTAGAAAATAGAGTGGGAAAAAAAAAAGAAAAACAAAAAAGAAAATAGAGTGAAAAAGTAACTGCAACACAAATAGATAGTCCATCCTCCAACTCGGTGTCCATCACCACTATCCATCATCCTTTCTTTTTTTCTTTCTGCCCTTCGGTCTCAGCTGTCCTACATGAGTGAGGAAAGAGGGGCCAACAGATTCTTCCAGCAAGAAGCTTTGGGTGAGAGTCACAAATACCTACGAACCACAATGGATAAATTTCAAACTTCTTAATCTAGCTGCTCTCTCTCAAGCCAACCTTCCTAGTACTACCTCTCTACTGTCAATGCTTTCTTAGGCTGTTTAATTTCCTCACACTGAACTGTAGTTTTGTTGGGTGATGGGTTAGTTAAGAAAAGGCAGACTAAGTTTTCATTATCAACATCAGCATGTACCTTACACTAAGTACTCTCCTATGTTTAGGTATTGTGCTAAGCATTGTGGGGATCCACAATAGGTGTGATATGTGGAACTTTTCTGAAAGACATGATAAATATAAAGATAAATAACTATCAGCTAGTGTACACCAAGTGTCCAGCCATAGTTTAGACCTGGCGTTACAAACTCAAATGCTTATACGAGCCAGGCACCTGTATACATGATAAGTATGGTGAGCCAGGTATAAGTATAAAACTCGAGGGCGTGCCCTAGCTAAAGAGTCAGCTGTTACCACTCAAGTTCAACTCATTCTTGCCAGGAGGGAACATAGAACCAGTGTTAATACATTTCCAATTTTTCAAGAGAAGCTGGAAGTTCAGTTTTTTAAATGTGAAAATTTCTGATTTGTACATTTGGAAACTAACTCAAAACAAAACAAAACAAAAAAAAGTCACTTTATAGCCTGGTTTACAACCTCCACTTTAGGTCCAGGAGAGGCAGTCATCGGTAAGTACAGTTTCAGGAAATACTTTCTGAAGGGAGGGAGACTTAAATTGACATCAAGTAGGACAGAGGTGAGAGGTTAAGTGAAGACAAGGAAAGAAGCTATGTTAGGGAGACCCCTAACGTAGTAAGGAGAGAAATTCAACTAGAGCAGTGGTTCTCAGCCTTACCTAATGCCACGAACCTTTCATACAGTTCCTCATGTTGTGGTGAACCCCCAACCACAAAATTATTTTCGTTGCTACTTCATAACTGTAATTTTGCTACTGTTATGAATCATAATGTAAATATCTGATCTGCAGGATGTATTTTCATTGTTACAAATTGAACATAATGAAAGCATAGTGATTAACCACAAAAACAATATGTAATTATAGATGTGTTTTCCGATGGCCTTAGGCGACCCCTGTGAAAGGGTCGTTCAACCCCCAAAGGGGTCGAGACCCACAGGTTGGCGACCCACAGGTTGAGAACCGCTGAACTAGATAAAAGTCCACAGTTTATGGAACGAGTAAACTTTGTAAAAGTAGGTTGGAGCAAGATTATGGAGGGCCTTGAATGTTGGGAAGGCATTTGAATAATGTTCTAGGGACAATAGGAATTCCTTGAAGGCTTTGAAACAGGGAGCAAAAAGTAGAGGATGTGATATTTGCAAAGTTGTTTCAGAAAGGCTGAACTAGAGGTAATGTTGGGCGGGAGTGACCACAGTGAAGTCAATGGAAACAGCAGAGTGGTCCCTTCTTGATCCTACCCATTATCCCCTTTGTCTCTTGTAGTTTTAACTTTCTCTCTGATTGTTTCCCAAAGCCTAGTAACATACGTTGGTTTAAAAAAAAAGTTGGGTGGGGGAGCATCACGCTCAATTTCTTGTTTCTCTCTGGCACGCCTAATTTCCCAACTTATCTTCACCCCCAGGCCTCAGCAAGCTCCTTGACTATTTTTTCACCTCTCAGGCGCTCTTTAATATATTTCATTTGGATTTATATCTCATGGCTTCTCTGTAATTACTGTGGTAGGGGCATTAGTTTTCAATTGGATGGATCCTTTGTAGTACTTAGTTCCCTCTTATTAACAAGCATTTATTGATACTTTATTATGTGCCAGGCTTTGTAAAGTATCCAATGGAATCCTTATAATAACTCTATTAGATAATATTATTAATCTCTTTTTAGAAATTCTTATAAAGTTCTAGTGATGTGTCCAAGATGTCATTGTTGTAAGTGGCAAAGTCAGGATTCACACCCAGATCTGTCCAACTCCAAATCATGATGCAATCATTGGCCCTTATTCACCATTTTCTGTTTCTTTAAACTGTGCCTCCCATGGTTCAAGGGCAAAATTCTAGCTTAGCCAGTCCTTGTAGCTGATCAGCCTGAGGCTAAATACCTCCCATTGATATACCAACAGCAATAAAGGCTCAACTACAACAGGAGGGTGTACACAGCCCACATGGGGGTATGTACCTTGAGTGCCTAGCGTGGGTAATCAGGAAGGCTGTGCCACTGGGCCCTACAGAACACCTACTTCATAAGGCCACTCTATCAAGCCCGTGAGATGTACAGCTCTACCTAATACATAGAAACAAACATAAGGAGGCTGCCAAATGAGGAGACAAAGAAACATGATCCAAATGAAAGAACAGAGCAAAACTCCAGAAAAAGAACTAAACAAAATGGAGACAAGCAATCTACTAGATATAGAGTTCAAAACACTGCTTATAAGGATGCTC